TCCTTACAGGCTTTAGTTACTACCTCCTTACAGTCCACTAATCTCCTCATTTGGTTCCCATCCCCCTGCCACATTCGTTTAAACCCTCCCCAACAGAGTTAGCAAAAGCAGCCCCTGGGACATTGGTTCCAGTCCTGCCCAGGTGTAGACTGTCCGATTTGTAATAGTCCCACCTCCCCCAGAACCGGTCCCAATGTCCCAAAAATCTGAACCCCTCCCTCCTGCACCATCTCTCAATCCACTTATTTATCCTGCCTATTCTTTCATTTCTACTCTGACTAGCACGTGGCACTGGTAGCAATCCTGAGATTACTACCTCTGAGGTCCTACTTTTTAATTTGGCTCCTAACTCCCTAAATTCTGCTTGTAGGACCTCATCCTGTTTTTTACCTAAATCATTGGTGCCTACATGCACCACGAAAGCTGGCTGTTCACCCTTCCCCTTCAGAATGTCCTGCAGTCGATCTGAGACATCCCTGACCCGTGCACCTGGGAGGCAACATACCATTCGGGAGTCTCGTTTTCGACCACAGAACCGCCTATCTACTCCCCTTACAATCGAATCCCCTATGACTATAGTCCTTCCACTCTTTTTCCCGCCCTTCTGTTCAGCAGAGCTAGCCACGGTGCCATGAACCTGGCTACTGCTGCCTTCCCCTGGTGAGCCATCTCCCCCAACAGTATCCAAAACAGTGTATCTGTTTTGGAGGGAGATGACCACAGGGGACGCCTGCACTGCCTTCCTGCTTTTTTTCTGCCTTTTGGTCATCCATTCCCTTTCTCCTTCAGCAATCCTAACCTGCGGTGTGACCAATTTGCTGAATATGCTATCCACAACTTCCTCAGCATCGCGGATGCTCCAGAGTGAGTCCATCTGCAGCTCCAGAGCCGTCATGCGTTCTAACAAGAGCTGCAGCTGAACACACTTCTTGCACGTGTAGGAGTCAGGGGCATCAGCCACATTGAGCAAGAGGAGCATAACACGGGTCTGGGATCTCCTGCCATTTTTACTCAAGCTTAACTTAGTCCTACTATAATATCAAATACTAGATCAATGAAAAAAATTTGTAACAAATCACTCTACTTACCAGCACACGATTAAAAAAAGAGGGAAAACACTTACCTCATCAATACACCAGAGTCTTTTTTTTTGGTCAGAGGAAGAGGGCAGGTGGGAGACACTGCACGTGTACTGTCTCGGGTTTAGCCACTGCCCAAATATATCAGTTCACTCACATTCTGAGAGTACAATTCAACTGCTCCCACTTAGCTCCGCTGCCGAAATGAAGAACTTACCTCCCAGCAGGCCCCTGGTCCTCGCTCTTACTGCTCCCGCTGCTGCTGCTGCTGCAAAAAATGGAGGCTGCTGATTGCACCAGGTAAGTTTTTAACTGGGAAACTTACCTCCCGGCAGGCCCCTGGTCCTCGCTGTCACTGCTCCCGCTGCTGCTGCTGCAAAAAAAATGGACATCTCAATCTCATCAAGAATCCCCATACGGATTCCCATGGTTCTCTAACAGCTGAATAAAACTAATAGCGTCTCAAAATTAGAGATGGTTTGGGGTTGTAATATTCCTTAACCAAATCCGTTAACTCTTGGAAGGTTTTAGTGTCTGGTGTCTCTGGGAAAGTTAAGCCCCTTATAACCAAAAATGCAATGGGTCCATAAGCAGTCACAAGGTTTACTAGTTGCTTTTCATCTTGCCCAATGTCTTTTGCCCAGGGACAATATTGCGTCCTTTCCACGTACTGGACTCAGTCTTCGAAAGCAGGATCAAACGTATCAAGCTTCCCAAATAAAGGCATGATGCCAGAAATGTTTGTCCCAACTTCAAGATGACTGTTGCAAGCAAATGTTCTTCAGACACATCCTGTTTTCTCCTGTTGCCACTGAAATAACTGCACAGAAGCCTGTATCCCATCACCAAGTCACCCTTTATTTACTTGTGCACAGTGCACTGACTGTGGCCAGCCAGCTCGGAGTCAGTCAGCTGAACTGAGGAGATTCTAATCTCCTAGTTATATTTTTTTTGTTTTTTTTCTTTCTTTTAGTACTGAAGATCAAAGATACCTTGGTATTCATTTTTAAAAATACCTGAAGGCAGTCAGGCAGATAGGTAAGGTGCTTAAGAGGCATTTAGAAAATTTACCTTTAACAGCTTAGGCATAGGAAACAAGAGTAAGAAGGTTTCGCAGGAACTGTATAAAAGGCTAGTTAGGTCAGAATAGGACTACTGCTTGCAGTTCTAATCACCACATCATGGAAAAGATGCAATTGAACTAGTTTGGATGAGGGGACACTGCCTTGGTTGGAGGGTCAGAAATATGAGGAAAATTTGGATGCTGAAATAACCGCGCAGTGGCTGGTTCCTGTCATCCGGTCACCCCTTATTTACTCATGCGCAGTACAGTGGCTGTGGCCAGCCAACTCGGAGTCAGTCCTCAACTGAGGAGATTCTAATCTCCTGGCTATATTTTTTCTTTCTTTTTTTTTAAGATTCTAATCTCTTGGTTATGTTGGTCAGCCGGGGCTTTCCTGAATGACTATGGTGTCATTGATTGGGGTTGTTAAATGGGTCAATGAGGTCAGCCTCATTCCAAAACTACACTGTACCTCATTGTTCTTTGTAATATTATAAGATTCAATGTTAAATTGGAAAATGATAAAAAATAGTCAAGGATTAAGATCTCAGACAGAAAAAGGGTAGAATTTGGGAGTCTAAAAGACAAATGAGAGACTTTCTAGTGAGATTCTTAGGCTCCAAGCTAGGTACATTGCCATGAGGAATAAATACAGGGTATCCAAAGTTAGTGCACCCTGGATGACTAAGGATATTGTTCAGAAAATAAAAAAGGAAAAGGAGGCACATGAGAGATAGTAGGAACTGCAGATGCTGGAAAATCTGAGATAACAAGGTGTAGAGCTGGATGAACACAGCAGGCCAAGCAGCATCATGATGTTGCTTGGCCTGCTGTGTTCATGCAGCTCTACACCTTGTTATCTTAAAGGAGACACATGATGCTTTCTAGAATAGAAATAGCATTAGAAATCAGGAAGAATATCTCAAATATGGGAGAGAGGAGAAGGCTAAGGGGAAAGGATGACAGACTCACTAAAACAAATGGTACAGTGCTCTTCAAACATATTAATTGTAAAAGAAGTGTGAAAGATAGAGTGGGTCCCATAAGGAAAAGGCAGGGTAAGCAGTTCACTGACAAAGGGTATGGCAGAGGTACTAAATAAGTATTTTGCTTCTGTCTTTACCAAATTAGAAAGTGGTGACAATGGCCTAGTTGAAAATGTACGTGTTGAGCAGCTGAGCAGTTTGATGATAGCTAAAGAAGACATGCTAAAAAGGCTGCCAGCACACCAGGTAGAGAAGCCACCAGGCGGAGATTGGTGAGAGAGGTAAGGGAGAAAATTGCAGAGCTGATAACACAAATTTTCCAGGCCTCTCTGAACACAAGATTAGTCCCAACAGACTACAGGACTCTAAATGTGACACCATTCTTTAAGAAAGGGCCATCACTCAGGAAACTACAGACCTGTCAGCTTCATATCAATAGTGGGAAAGCTGATGGAGGCCATAATACAGAAGATGATAAATATACACTTTGTGAAAATATGTTAATGCTCAACAGTCAACTTGGCTTTGTCAGGGGCAGGTCATATCAACAAATTTAATTGAGTTCTTTGATGAGATGACAGGCAGTGGATAAGGGTAGTGCTGTGGATGTATATTTAGACTTTCAGAAAGCATTTGATATGGTGCTGCTTGTCAGGTCCATTAGCAAATTAGAAATGTTTGGGATTGATGGGTTTTGGCATCATAGATTAGAAGCCAACTAAAAGATAGGAAACAGAGGGTAGGTATAGATTGACATTTCTCAGATTGGAGATGAGTTGAAAGTGGTGTTTCCCTTGCTTTTTCTGATTTATATAAAAAAATTGGAGTTTATTGTTGAGGGCAAAATGTCTAAATTTGCAGATGACACTAAGCTGGAGAGAATAGTGAATTATGAGGATGATGCTATGCAATTTCAGAAGGAAAGTTGGTGAAATGGGTAGACAGCTTGCAGATGAATTTCAATGCAGAGAAATGAGAGGTAATGCATTATGGTAAAAGAAACATGGTGATACAATACAGGCTCAACAGCAAAACTTTGAGGGGAGAATAGGAGCACAGGGACCTGGGTTAAAGTGACTAATTCTCTGAAGATGGTCAGGCAAGGTGAAACATTTGTTGCAAGAGTGACCTCTGTAAAGGCAATTAGAGACTCTGAGACAGCGAAGTAAAACAGCACTTAAGAAATTTATTCAAGCAAAACACAGGTGTCGATGCAGGGGGTGGGGGTCCAAGACTCACTCAGGAATTTGAACTCTCTCCAAGTACAATGGTGAGAAAGTACTTATTCTATACCATTACACAAACAGGCTGACACAACCCTGAAACTATATTGATTACTATCCACATCTAGCATGAGCAGTAAATCTAACAACATCATACAATTTACTATCAGTGGTATACGGCTCCTACACTATCAACCTGGGGGCGATTGTCCATTGAAACCTTTATCAAAATAAACATGCAGTTACTCATGGTGTCTAGCCCTGACCACTTGCCATTAACATCTGCAGACTAATTTGTTTCCCGTCTGGAACATTCCATGGCCTGTTCCCTTGGGAACTATCTTTCAACTAGCTGCCTGTCTCTGCAGCAGCAAGCAAGTGCTCTTTCAATCCTTACTTTTAGCCCTTACCTATATATTTGTCACTTACTACAGACCTGTGAGAAAACTATACTTCTATAAAAAAAACTACACTTCTACACTCTTTCCCCTTTACTTGTTAAGAAGGATAATAGGATCCTTGAGTTTATAAATAGTGGCACATGTTACAAAAACAAGGAAGTGATGCTGCACCTCCACAATTCATTGGCTAGACCACATTTGGAGTATTGTGTTCAGTTCTGGACACCTATTGAAGGAAGGATGTTAAAGCCCTGGAGGGAATGCAAAGTACATTCATTAGAGTGACATCAGGAAAGAGGGATTTTAAATACAAGGGAAAATGAGAGAAATTGGGCTTATTCTCCTTGGGGCAGAAAAGATTAAGCGGTGACCTTATTGAAGTGTTCAAAAGTATGAACAATTTTGACAGAGTAAAGAAGGATATTCTGTTTCGACATGTCAGTAAGTAGGGGGTGTGGTCACAATTCCAATATTGTCAGCAGGAGAGCTGGAAGTGAGATGAGGTGAAACTTCTTTTAGTCAGAGAAATGTTAGGATTTGGAATGTGCTGCCTGGGAGACTGGTGAAGGTAAATTCCATAAGAGCTTTCAAAAGAGAGCTTGATATATATTTTGAAAATGATGAATTTCAAGGTCAACAGAGTTAGGGCTAGAGAATGAGATTAGCTGCTTAGCTCTTTCTGGAAACAGTACAGACATGATGGGTCAAATGGCTTCCTTTTGTATTGTAAAATTTATGGTTCAACCAGTTCCATTTCCTAGGATTAGTTCTAGCACTGTCCCAGGTTACTACTCATACTGCTCATTATGTGCTGTTTAATGTAGACACAAAACTAGGAAAATTGTTGTAGCTATCAGCAGATTTCAATCAAGTCAAGTCAAGTGGCAATCTGCTCAGGGGACCCCAGTGAAATAAGTCAAGGACAGCGTCTGATACCAATCAAATGCCTATCGGGGCAATCAGTCAGGATTGTAAGTCACTCAGATAGCAAGAACTGCAGATGCTGGAGTCAGAGTCAACACAGTGTGAAGCTGGAGGAACACAGCAGGTCAGGCAGTATCATAGGAACAGGAAGGTCGATGTTTCGGTTCTGATTAAGGGTTCAGACCCGAAATGTTGACTTTCCTGTTCCTCTGATGCTGCCTGACCTGCTGTGTTCCTCCAGCTCCACACTGTGCTGACAGAGTCAGGATTGTTTTCTCATTAGAGATGAGGCGCCAAATAATGGACAGCACATCACAGTCTTGACTATGTCTCCCCTATTATGGGCAATTTTCCTCCTGGAATGAGAGAGAGGGAGGTATCACAGCAAGTAAAAGTGGGTGGCACAGCTATTGGTAGGGTGAGGAGGTGTCCTGCACCAGTGAGTAAGCAGTGCAGTGGGCTTGCAGGGTTAGTGGTGTCAAAGGTTGGTCTAGGTGAGAACAAGTGGGAAGATATTTAGAAAATAGTAAGTGGTATAGCATGATCCTTGATGGGAGCACAGATCAGTAGCAGAGATAGAGGTATTGGAGAGAAGATGGTGGCACTTATGTGACTTCCTAGAGTGTTGTGTATCCCTCCAAAAAGCTAAAACTGCTTTAACCTGGGTGTCAAACTTGAATCAGGATAATATGATCAGATGTTGTGGCTTCCACTGCTGGTCCTTGGGCAGAAGGAAGCCTATTGTGAATGCTTTGGAGAGGGTGCAGAGGAGGTTCACCAGGATGTTGCCTGGTATGGAGGGCGCTAGCTATGAAGAGAGGTTGAGTAGATTAGGATTATTTACATTAGAAAGACGGAGGTTGAGGGGGGACCTAATTGAGATCTACAAAATCATGACAGGTATAGACAGGGTGGATAGCAAGAATCTTTTTCCCAGAGTGGGGGACTCAATTACTAGGGGTCACGATTTCAAGGTGAGAGGGGAAAAGTTTAAGGGAGATGTGCGTGGAAAGTTCTTTACGCAGAGGGTGGTGGGTGCCTGGAACGTGTTGCCAGCGGAGGTGGTAGAGGCGGGCACGATAGTGTCATTTAAGATGTATCTAGACAGATACATGAATGGGCAGGGAGCAGAGGGACACAGATCCTTGGAAAATAGGCAACAGGTTTAGATAAAGGATCTGGATCGGCGCAGGCTTAGAGGGCCGAAGGGCCTGTTCCTGTGCTGTAATTTTCTTTGTTCTTGTTCTTTGTTATTGATCAGAAGCCTATGGATCAGAAACAAAAACAGAAATTGCTTGAAAAGTCCAGCAGGTCTGGCAGCAAGAATGATCAATCAGTTCTGACAAAAGGTCACTGGACCTGAAACATTAAGATGTTTTTCTCATGGCTGATCTTGTCCTGAATGTTGTGGCTAGTTGTCGTATCTGCTCTGTAAATACAAAAGCAAAGTTTTTCTGTAATATTTCTGCCATCTTTTGATGTTTGCCTGTCATATTATCCAAACTATTTTGCAATTGTCCGATTCCTATCACAACCTTTTAATGATCTGACTGTAAGATATTTGACCTTACTGTTTCTTGATAATTTAATTGTTCAGCCTTGCGTTTCTAATGTTTAAGCTTCTTTCCCAATTCTTTCTTGTTCTGTCTCATCACAGAGTCCTCTATTATCTGTATAGGCCCCTTTCCTAAGCCTTCCTCCTAAATCTTTACTCGTGTGGAGTCTCACTAATGTTTAATTCATTCTTTTTTAAGCGGAATATGCTTTTTCTGTGCTTTGTTGAACACTTAATTGTTGTCCCACATCATTATTTGTCAATATTGTTGCCCATTTGACTTTTCTCAGCTCTATTCTCAACTCCTGAAAATCAGATTTTCTCCAGCTTGCCTATCCAGAGGCTAGTCTTCTTGCTGCTTCTGACATTCCTGCTATGTTCCTGTTGGTGCCCAAACCAACGTTCTTCTGCATTGCTTCTTCTTAGGGCTGCAGCCATGACAACTATTGTGAATTAGGCTCATGGCAGGCAGACTGTTGCTTCACTGTAGCCCACCTCCCCCAACAACTTTCTGTGCATAATACCTTGAGATTAAGTACCACTGCCCCTCTGAACCCTAGTGCCATGTCCCTTGGTCATTGTCTTCTCTTTTCTTTGACAATGCTCTTTGCTTCCCACCCTCATTTCCATTGCATTTTGGCTGTCTGGAAGGCTGGCTGGCATTGTGTAGAACAGAAAGAAATTATGTTAAATAAAAAGAAAAACTTGTTAGGCCTAAGCTATGGTATTGTTTCCAGTTCTGGACATCACACTATAGGAAGGATGATACAGAGGTACAGAAGCAAATTGACGCAGGAATGGTATGTGGAAAGATTGGGAGAAGCTGTCCACCTTTGAGCAGAGAAATTCGGTGGGGTTTTAACCAGGAATAGTTTTGATAAAGTAAACAAGGAGAAACTGCTTCTTGTGGCTGGAAAGTAGATAAACAGAAGATACAGATTTAAGGCGATTGCCAACAAAAAATATCAGGAGATTATTTATTATCTGGAATGTACTGTCTGAAAGATTGCCAAATGCATATATAATGGTAACATTCAAAAGGTAATTGACTAAATACTTAAAGAGCACTGATTTGTAAGACTATGGGGTTATGCAGGCGAATTGAATGAGCCATTATAGGGACGATGGGATGAATGCCTATCTCTATGCTGTATCATTGCTTTATTGTATGCTATGTTACTATCACTTGCTGTTGACTTCAAGTAACATTTTATTCTTATTTGCATTTAGTTGTTCTACTGATCCTGACATTGTCAGAAGAACGAAAATCCACTGCACAAGAATTGTCTCCTAACTCAAGGTCTCAAAATCATCCAATAGACTTAACTACCCTAAGCACCGTACTTCTTAAACCTAGTGCTAACTCCAAAGTAATGGATCATATTAACTTGCATAGGATCTCAGATACAGATGAAAATATCTTGAAATATCTTCAGATAGTCCATGACATCAAGCTGATTGACACCAGCTTAATTGAACCCACACCTACTGTCACTCGGTTACCGTTGTCAGTTTCACCACTGGATATTGCCAACAATTATCACAGAACAAAGGAGGTCATAATTTCCATGTATAATCAAAATACTTTGTATTCAGAGCGAGCATATTTAAAGGAACGACCATCTCTGCTTCATAATTTTGAGTTAGTGGATCCTGGACAACTTCTTGGCAATGTAATACTGCATTCCTCATTTACTACTAGAATATACCACAGAGATTTTGAAACAATGTCTTCATCTAGTAACTATCAAACTGAGCTGGTTTTGAGAACCTCTGACATCCATAATACCAAGATGTTGAAATCTTCAAATGATGCAGTCACACTGAAAGAGACCAACTACCTGCATGCCCTTAAGAATCTCTGGCACACAGAGGAATCAAACATTACAGAAGAAAGGGTTTCACTTCTTCCTGCCTTGCCACTTAATCTGATGATTACTTCTGAGTCACAGGTTACTTCTAGCCTTCATGGTGTATCATTTGAATCGCAGCCACGTCGTAACCTGGAATTATCTGTTGTAACAACAAGTGATTTTTTGAAAGTTGGTGATCAAAACCTGTCAGCTATGATTGCATCTTACACTTCAATCTCCATGACAACATTCAGCATGATGAAAAGTGATTCTTTATCTAATTCTGTCATTCTGTCAACTTTGTCTACACCTGGAATCTCTTCAACCTTCTCCGAATCTGACACAACAGCAGCAGGAAACTTCCTGAACAGAATAGTCCCTGCAGAAACTAGGGGCCCTGAAATACTCAGCAATATTTCCCAAGTAACTGAAGTAGATGAGCCTCAAGAAAAAGCAACTATTTGCCTCAGTAAAATTGACATTGCCTGGATTATTCTAGCTATAAGTGTTCCTGTTTCATCATGCTGTAAGTAAGGATTTAATTTCACAATTATAATGGTATAGAAAGATACTTAGATGTTGATACTACATGTAATGACAATAGGTATTAATGATTCAATGCAAAGTTCAATGTCCAGTGCAAGTGAAAGCCCCAGAAATCCACATAATGAGGAATATCTAGAAAAGTTAATCTATAACATAGAACATTACATCAGTTTCACAACTGGAGCCATTATTTCAAATTTACCCTAAGCATGTTCAGAAAAAAAAAACACTGTATGCTGGGCACTTTTACCTAAATAATCTGTGATATCTCTAATTTTGCAAATACAGTGCTGGAATATGTTACCGTCATCAATAAGGAAGTGATGATACATGACTGCTCTGAAATTAAATAAATGTTGCTTTTAATCAAGGCATTACTAGATTGAGAAAGCTAACAGTAATGTTGAAGCTACAGGTATTGTACAAAAAACGAACAAAAATCCTAAATTAACACAAATGCAACTAGAAGATCAAAGTATTTGCAGTCTGAGTATTCACTACCCTTAATTTCAAAGACACCATAGGAAAACAAACGATCTGACTGGTGTTCTTCATATGCCTAACTATTAAAATAATGTCTGCAGAAGAATGATACACTTCAGCCACCCCAGACACTACTGTAAGACTGTTTTGTGGTGTCAATGAGTACACAGCTTAAAACAAAAATTGAGCAGTGCATTTAGGAATAGGAGTAGGACATTCAGTCCCTTGAACCTGTTCTGAATTTCTTTGTGATTGTGCCTGATGTGTGACGTAACTCAATATGGACCTTTGGCCCATATCCCTTAATACGGTTGGATAAGAATAAGCTATCGATCTCAAATTTAAAATTTACAATTGACCTAATATGAGAGTTCTAACCTTTCACCACCCATTCTGCTGAGAACTGTCCCTAATTTCACTCTTGAAAGGTCTGGCTCTGATTTTTAGTTTATATCTGCTGGCCGCAACCTTCCCCAAAGTGAAAATAATTTCTCTTTATTTACTATCTGTTCCACCTAATATCTTGAAAATATTGATAAAATCAGTCCATGATGAAATAAATTTCAAGGCAAGTCTAGAATACCTCAGGAGGAGGGCACTTGTGCTGTGGCACTACTGGATAACATAAATTGGGAACAGATGCTGTCAAGGAAGAGCACCACAGAAATGTGGAGATTGTTTAAGGAATGCATACTGCATGTGCTCGATATGTTTGTCCCTAGCAGGCAGAGAAGATGCGGTTGAGTGAGGGAGCCATGGTTCTTGAGAGAGGTTGAACGACTGGTTAAGAGGAAGAAGGAGGCTTATGTAAGGTTTAGGAAAAGAGGAACGGAAAAGGCTCTAGAGGGGTACAAGTTATCCAGGAAGGAGCTGAAGAAAGGGCTTAGGAGAGCTATAAGGGGGCATGAGAAAACCTTGGCGGATAGGATCAAGGAAAACTCCAAGGCTTTTTACACGTGTGTGCAGAACAAGAGAATGACCAGAGAAAAGGTAGAGCCAATCAAGGATTGTAAAGGGAATTTGTGCACAGAGTCTAAAGAGATAGGAGAGGTCCTTAATGAATACTTTTCTTCAGTATTCACAACTGAGAGGGACCTAGTTGTAGAGGAGGACGTTGTGAAACAGGCAGGTAGGCTAGAGGAGGTTGATGTTAGTAAAGAAGATGTGCTAGGAATTTTGAGGAAGTTGAAGATAGATAAGTCCTCCGGGCCTGATGGGATTTATCCAAGGATTCTATGGGAAGTGAGGGACGAGATCGCAGTGCCTTTGGTGATGATCTTTTCGTCCTCACTGTCCACGGGTATAGTGCCGGAAGATTGGAAAGAGGCAAACATCATTCCCTTGTTCAAAAAAGGGAACAGGGATAACCCCGGAAATTACAGACCAGTTAGTCTTACGTCAGTGGTGGGAAAATTATTGGAAAGGGCTCTGAGAGACAGGATTTATGATCACTTGGAAAGGCACAGTTTGATTCGTGATAGTCAGCATGGATTTGTGAGGGGTAGATCATGCCTCACAAACCTTATTGAATTCTTTGAAAAGGTGACCAAACACATGGATGAAAGTAGAGCGGTGGATGTGGTATACGTGGATTTAAGGAAGGCGTTTGATAAGGTTCCCCATGGTAGGCTCATGCAGAAGGTAAGGAGGCATGGGATAGGGGGAAATGTGGCAGATTGGATTCAAAATTGGCTGACCCTTAGAAGACAAAGGGTGGTAGTGGACGGAAAATATTCAACGTTGTGCTCAGTTACGAGTGGTGTATCACAAGGATCTGTTCTGGGTCCTCTTCTATTTTTGATTTTTGTAAATGATTTGGATGAAGGAGTGGAAGGGTGGATTAGCAAGTTTGTGGACGATACAAAGGTGGGTCACATTGTGGATAGTGCGGTGGGCTATTCTAGGTTACAAAGGGACATCGATGGAATGCAGAGCTGGGCTGAGAAGTGGCAGATGGAGTTTAACCCTGAAAAGCGTGAGGTGATTCATTTTGGAAGGACAAACTTGAAAGCAGAGTATAGGGTTAACGGAAAGATTCTTGGCCGTGTGGAGGAGCAGAGGGATCTTGGGGTTCATGTTCACAGTTCCCTGAAAGCTGCCACCCAGGTGGATAGAGTTGTTAAGAAGACGTATGGTGTGTTAGCTTTCATTAATAGAGGGATTGAGTTCAAGAGCCGTGAAGTTATGCTCCAGCTATACAAAAGCCTGGTTCGGCCACATCTGGAGTATTATGTCCAGTTCTGGTCACCTCGTGACAGGAAAGATGCGGAAGTGTTGGAAAAGGTGCAGAGGAGATTTACCAGGATGTTGCCTGGAATGGAGGGAAGGTCTTACGAGGAAAGGTTGAGAGAGCTAGGGCTTTTCTCTTTAGAACGACGAAGGATGAGAGGTGACTTGATAGAGGTGTACAAAATGATCAGAGGTATAGATAGAGTAGACAGCCAGAGACTTTTTCCTAGGGTGGAGGTAGCTTTTACGAGGGGACATTGTTTTAAAGTGAAAGGAGGTAAATATCGGGGAGACGTCAGAGTTAGGTTCTTTACTCAGAGAGTGGTAGGGGCGTGGAATGCATTGCCGGAGAGGGTAGTGGAGTCGGCCTCATTAGGGGCATTTAGGCAGCTATTAGATAGGCATATGGATGATAGTATAAAGTAGCGGTGGAGGTTAGATAGACCTTAGGTTTCTGGTAAAAGTTCGGCACAACATCGTGGGCCAAAGGGCCTGTACTGTGCTGCACTGTTCTATGTTCTATGTGTTGGTAGTGTCCCTGTCTGGACAGTTCCATGCGCTCCAGATTTGTCTAATAACAATTCTGACCAAGTTGATTAGAAAACATAGAATACCTAAGGAGTATTTTAATTGGTGTTTATTAAGAAAGGGAATGCTGACAAAATGTCAGAAGAAGTGGAGATTGTAGCAATTAGAAACAAAGTGAAAATTGAGATGAAGGGGGTAATGGAAAGTCTGGCAATATTTAGAATGCATTGGGTGAGCTGCTCTGGATGGCTTTCCAAGTAAGTTGGGGTAGGAATAGCAGAACAGCTTGTCAGAAACTTTCAAGTTTCCCTCGATATAGGGGAGGTGCCAATAGAATGGAGAGCATCAAATGACAGCCCTGTTCAGGAAAAGATTTGAGGTTATTCTTATTAGCTATAGGCTAATTGGTTTAACATCTGTGGTGGGTAAGGTTTTACAAGCAAGAAATCAGTAGAAAAGATAAGCAGGAAATTGGAAAAATTTAGTTAATTTCAGAGAGCCGGTTGAGATTTGTAAAAGGCTTCACTATTCTAATTTCTTTTTGGTGAAATAATGCTTGATGAAGGGAATAGACTTCTGAATGGATTTTAAGAAAACACCTGACAAAGTACCAAATTACAGGTTGGTTAAAAACTTTGAAACTTATGGAATAAGAGGGTCACTGTCAGCTTGGATAAAGAGTTACCTTAGGAGGTAGTTACCTTAGAAAACAGTGAGGAATGGTTAAGTGGTGGTCTTTCAGACTAGAAAATAGATGTAATGATGTTCCGTGAGGATCCATGACAGAAAGGGTGACACCCATTGATTTCAGAGGACTAGCAGAACGCTCAGACTAGAGGCAGTTGGAATTTAACACAAACAAATTTGTTAAATTTTGACAGAAAGGATGAGGAGGCAATGTAAACTTAATGACACAGTTGTAAAGAGGGTTCAGAGGCTAGGGGCAGAAGATTCATGTACATAGATCTTTTCTTTGGAAGCAGAAGGAGCTGTTGAGAGAGCAGTGTCAAATGGAATCCTGAGAATTATAAATGCATCATGAGCCTGCATTCGGAATTAAATGCAATTTGGTTTCCTTAACTAATTCCAGGCATACAGGGAAATATTAAATAGATGTGACTATATTCTCTGGAATTTAGAAGAATAGGAGGTGATTTCATTCAAACGTGTTACCGGGATCAAAAGACCGATGCAGGAGAGATGTTTCGTCTACCTGAGGGAAATTAGAGCCAGAGGACAGAGTCTCAGAATAAAGGACATGGCATTTAGAAAAGAGATAGGGAGATATTTCTTCTTTCAGAGGGTGAGGAATTTTTGGAAGTCTCTTTCCCAGTGGGCTGTGGAGATTCAGTTGCTGAATATGCTCAGGATTAAGATCAATAGATTTCTTGGTATTAAAGCCATTAAAATATGTGGGGGCAGTGCAAGAAAAATGGTGTTGAAGTAGAAGCTCAGTTATTATTTCACTGAATGGCAGAGTCAACTTGAAGGGCTAAATGACCTGCCCTCTTTCCAATTTCTTATATTATGAACACAAAGCAGGAATATAATGAAACTTTATAAAACTTTGGCTAGACCACAACTAAATATTGCACCTCCAGTTTTTGCTTGCAAGTTTTAAGGACGATATGAATTTTCTTGATAGAGGATATCAAGATATAGAGGATATCCTCACAGAGGATATTTACTCATGGTTTACTAAGTTCCAAGGATGAGGAAATTTTTTTACAAGATGAGGGT